TTTTTTTTTTTTTTTTTAGAGGTTTTTGCTATAGGGCATGTGCGCTCACCAGAAAGACAGAAAGTGAGAAATCACCCCTCAGGGGGGATGGCCACGCGGAAATCCTTTCTCCATTCTCCTCTTGGAATCTTGGGCACGCACATGCACACGCCCGGCATGAGTTTAAGCCACTGGGTCCAGGACTCGAACCGCGGTCGACTACATGGGAGTCCAGTGACAGCCGTTATGCCAACTGCTGGTCCCGGCCAGTTGACTTAATTAGAGAACCAGCTGAGACTGTCAAACCTGTGTGGAGTTGGAGACTTGCAGCTTTGGAGCTGGATGCAAAGGAACCATGCAGAGTGGTTGCAAGAGATTGGTTCTGTGTGGATGCCATGGACGTGGGAGTTGAAAGAAAAGAGTGAATAAAACTCAAGACCAAGTGCCGAAGCCAATATAGGCTAAGCACTTTCTATGGTGCCAATCCTATGCTAAACGCTTTCGATCCATTAATCTGATTTAATCCTCATTATAATTTTCTGTGGCGAGGTTAAGTAGAGTGCCCACAATTTCACAGCTAGTAAGTGATAGAACTGGGTCTCATTTCCAAGTCCGTTTGACTCCAAAGTCCATGCTCTTAATCGCTGAGCTCTACTGTGTCCCAGAAAAGAACTGTCAAAATCCTTTAACCCTGTTTCTCGGTTCCAGGTACTTCAACTGGTCCACACAGACAAGCTCCTTCCCCATTATTTTTAGGTTTTCTGGAAGAGGAGTCTCCCGCATTCCTCGGTCACCTCCAACATCTCCTGCCAGGCGTTCTCATGTGTTGTCAGTGTCCTCCTTCACTTCAGCTTGGTCGGTAGATGGGCTCCGGGTTCCACGTGTATTGATAATTTCGATGAAAGCAGCAAGACGCAGAGACTATGGCAGTTAGAACTGTAAATATCCTGCCATGTCTTCTGTTTGTCCAGGATCTGTCGGGTTTCTATAGCAGTGTGGTCTGGAGTCATGTGAAGGGAGACTTATGAGGGGACGTGATGGTCATTATAGAGCTCAGGAACCGGATGCACCCTCCTGAGTATAATCACGGTGGGCCACAGAGCACCCTGCGACATGACATGAAGCCATGGTCTGGCTGAGGAAACTGCAAGGAACAGATTTGATCAACATGGGAAATAGGGGGGCCTGTCCTGCAGTGTAGCGGTTAAGTGCTGTGCATTGGGAGCGAGATCCCACATGACCAGCCACGGTTCAAATCCTGGCCCTGGCTGTGCAAAGGATTTGCTGGGTATGTGTGCATGTTATCTAAAACCCTGAGATGGAGAAATGGAGGAAAAAGAACCACAGCAGGATCCTGCCCCTTTGGGTGGTGTTTTCTCTCTCTCTCCCCAGTGAATAAGAGAGCAATACAAAATTCAGTTTCAAAGGCCTGGAAGGCCCAGCCTCTGGCTTAGTGGTTAAGGGAACTAGATCCTTCATGGCCAACCATGTGGTTCTAATCTCAGCTCGGTTGGTTTGAAGAACATTCTGGGCACATGTGCATGCACATCAAAACCCAACAGGATGGAGAAATGGAAGAGGAGGGACAGTGGTGTAGGCACACCCCATGGGGGGTGCCTTTTCCCTCTCTGTCCCTCTGTCTCTCTCTGGAGAGCACACATACCGTCTGACAATTCCTAGAACAAATGAAACAAACCCCCCTGGGAAAGAGGAACAGAAAACCATAATAGTGTTATCCTGAAGACTGTCTTCTCTTCGGTCACTTTGGCTAAATATGCAAAACCCATATCTAATATATTTAGCATTCCTTCCTCTTTCCTCTCCTCCTCTTTCACGCCTGTCATCATCTTACTGAACAATTTTTACTCTGAAAAACAGTGTGTGAGAGGACAAGAACATGGGCCCTCCTCGCTCCCGGTCCTGACCTTGACCCCCAGAGTTGCAATCCTAGGTATTTCAGACACTGAGCTGGAAGGGGGATCTTTGCAAACTCTGGTCTAAAAACCAGTAAGGGCGAGCTTGGATACAAACTCAGGCTCATAGCCAATAGGCTTCATTGTTCCTCAGTTGGTTTTTTATTTTTTTTTTTTTTTGAGAGGTTTTCGCTATAGGGCGCGTGCGCTCGCCAGACAGACAGAGAGAGACATAGAGACAGAAAGCGAGAAATCACCCCCCAGAGGGGATGGTCACGCCACAATCCCTTCTCCTCCATTCTCCTCTCGGGATCTTGGGCATGCACGCACACGCGCCCGGCGTGAGTTTTAAGCCACCGGGTCCGGGACACGAACCGCGGTCAACTACGTGGGAATCCAGCGACATAGCCATTACGCTAACTGCTGATTCCCAGTCGGTTTGTGATAAAGACATTCCTAATCCCCATCAGAAGAGAAATGCCCTGAGAGGACTGACCCTTCAGCTAGTGCTTTACAGCCATGCTTTCCTTTTTAGCAGCAGAACTGGAGTTTTTACAATGAAAAACTTACGTGGAACTTCAGCATACAAAACAGAGGAAAGCGGATGCATGACCGGGGTCTGAAGACGTGCTTGCGTGTCCTTTCTCGGCCTGCTTCTCTCACCAAGGTCACATCTGGAAGGACTGCAGATCCCAAGGGCTCCTCAGAGCACAGCGAGAACTACACCACCAAGCGAGTGACAGTCAATTGATCTGTTGTCGTCGTCGTTTTTCATCTCGTCCCATTTGTTCCCAACTAGACATGAGGAATGAGAGTCAGAACAAGTCTGTTTTCATAGAGACCAGAGCAGAGGGGAAGAACCAGTGCGTGGAGTGGTACCCTGGGCAGCAGAGCTAAGCCAAGCGCCACAGCAGTAAGGGGGCCATATGAGATCCAAGTAATAAAGGCAAAAAAAGGGGAATCGCATACAGCGTAATGGTTACATCGCTGGACTCCCACGAAGTAGACCGCATTTCGAGTCCTGAATACAGCAACTTAAAACTCATGCAGGGGAGACCAACAGTTAGCATATTGGCTATGTCGCTGGATTCCCATGTAGTCAACCGCGGTTTGAGTCCCGGACCCGGTGGCTTAAAACTCACGCCGGGTGCGTGTGCGTGCGTGCCCAAGATCACGAGAGGAGAATGGAAGAGAAGGGATTGTGGCGTGGCCATCTCTCTAGGGGGGTGATTTCTCGCTTTCTGTCTCTATGTCTCTCTCTGTCTGGCTGGCGAGCATACACACCCCATAGCAAAAACCTCTCCAAAAAACAAACAAATAAAAAAATAAAACAAAACAAAAAAACTCATGCAGGGCACGTGTGCGTGCCCAAAATCCCAAGAGGAGAATGGAGGAGAAGGAATCGCAGTGTGGCCATCCACCTGGAGGCGGAGGGGGGGGTGATTATTTCTCACTTTCTCTTTTTCTCTCTTTGTCTCTCTGGCGAGTGCATGCACCCTGTAGCAAAAATCTCTCTCAAAATAAATAAGTAAATAAAGGCAAAAAGGATGGGCTGTTTGTGGCTATCACCAGCCTTCTACGGTTTCGAAGGAAAACGAAGGAAAAGAAACTGAACTGGCCAACCCGTGACACTCTCCTGCCGTCTGACATCCCACCCCCTCTCGTCTCCTGTGAAACCACCACACAGGCTTTGCACAAGCTCAGAAACAGGAACCAGGCTTCCTGGCCTTTTCTTAGGTTTGTGACCCACCGAGCCTACGTCAGGGCAGCTGTCTCCTGAGCAGATGGATCGTGAAATGTGGTGAGAAGCAGCAGCAGCTGGTCATGAGGGCAACACGGGCCGTTCAGAGGTCGGAGCCCGGCGTGAATGCCCTGCCGTCACTCAAGCTCGATGGGACCTTCCACGCCGGGTCACCATGTTGCCGGTTAAGGAAGAGCACGGGGCTCCGAAGCACAGGCTGGTCCTGCTGGGCCAGGGGAGTGTTTGAAAGTGACCAATGGGGAAAAAGATCAGGGAGGATTACAGTAGTCAGGCTGACCAACTACTTAGCCTGATATGGGTAGCTACACTTGGCGGGGGTGCCCCAGAGCCGGTGGGGTCTTAACCTGGCAGACTCGGACACTGTTACCTCAGAGCACGCCCATTGATTTGGGCCATTATCAGTTTCCTGATGCCGTTTGCCTGTACGATGGTCTCCATCCTTTCTACCCTGCCCCTTGCTCCAGGAGGCTGGAAGTGCCAACGGCGTCACCAGGATCCCTGGCACTCTGCCTCCAGCTGGCTTTGGCCACTCCAAGGCACTGGCAGCAGAAGGCAGGAGGTCAGGGTGGCTATTCTTCCAGTTTCCTGCCTTCCAGTCACGCCCCTGCACGGAAGGCCACTCCTGTCAGGCAGCCCTCATCCATTCCTCCCCGCTCTGTGCTCAGTCGCTGCACCTTCCCCTTTTCTGTGCAGGCGGCTGGGCAGGTTTCCTCATTTTAGCTCAGAATCCTGCGTTATCTGCGTACCTCTCCCACACTTGGAAACCAGAGATTTATCTTCAAATTTATTTTTAAGAGATTTTTTTCTATAGGGCGCATGAGCTCATCAGAGAGACAGAAATTGAGAAATCATCCCCCAGGGTGGATGGCCACACCACAATCCCTTCTCCTACAATCTCCTCTTGGGATTTTGGGCATGCACGTGCATGCACCCAGCATGAGTTTTAAGCCTCCGGGTCCAGCACTTGAACCATGGTCCATTTTGTGGGAGTCCAGCAACATAACCATTATGCCACCTGCTGGTCCCTGTTAGAGCTTTATTAAACTCTTCTTAAAATATCCAATTGCATGCGCCATCTCAGAACACTTCTGATAGTCAGTCGGTTGATAGTACATCAACGTCTGTCAAACCCACAGCATGGAAATGAAGATCAGAATCCCTGGCCCAAGGCTGGCTGAGGCACTGTCTGTAATTTGGTCGTCCAACTTTAGAAGTTCTTGCAACAAGAACTTTTCTTTTCTTTTTAAAGGTTTAGCTATGGGGCATGTGCACTTGCCAGAGAGACAGAGAGAGAGAAAGTGGGAAGTCATCCCCCGGGCAGATGGCCACACCACAACCCCTTCTCCTCCATTCTCCTCCAGGGATTTTGGGCATGCACACACACATGCCAGGCGTGATTTCAAGCTGCCAAGTCCAGGACTTGAACCATGGTCAGTTTGAGTCCTGGTTAGCCACGTGAGAGTCTAGCACCTTAACCACTATATCACTTGCTGTCCCTGTAATAAGAACTTTGAAAGCTCATTTGTACCCATGTTCTTTGACTCCAATTTGAATAATCTTCCTCAGATGAAGGGCCACACCTAGAGCCTCTTGAACACATGTCAGTGTTAGATACTGTTTGCTTTTCACTCGGTTGGGTAATATTGCAAAATTAAAACAGTAAATTAATAGAAGTAAATATTAATAAAGTAACAGTACAGTAATTCAGAGCAGTCTTTTTTTTTTTTTTTTCCTCTTTAAAATTTGCTACAGAGCACAAGCACTCACTGGAGGGAGACAGAGAGAGAGAAAGAAAGAAAGCACCCCCAGGGGGATGGTCATGCCACAATCCCTTCTACTCCATTCTCCTCTCAGGGATGTTGGGCATGCACACACATGTGCTTGCGTGACTTTCAAGCCGCGGGGTCTAGGACTCCCAACCACACAGTTGGCCACATGAGATCCAACTGGCACAACCACCACACCACCTGCTAGCCCCGAGCAGTTTTGTTTGTTGTTGTTGTTGTTGTTGTTGTTGTTGTTTTTGTAGGTTTTGGCCATAGGTCTTATATGCTCACTGGAGAGAGACACACAGAAGAAAAGGGAGAAGTCACCCCAGACCAGAACAGTCTTTAAGGTCAGACAGATGGAGATTCAAATTTAACTTCAGCCGATGGAAAGTTACTGAACCTTTCCAAGTCTTGGTTTTGTCATCCGTCAAAGAGTTAGAATAATAGTACCTACAGCTTTTCTTTTATTTCTTTTTATTATATTTTCCTTCTTTCTTTCATGAGTGGGAGATAAAGAGACAGCACCCCCAGATGGGACTCGACACCATGATCCACCACCAGTCTCAGCCTGCGCTGGACCGTGGCATGTACCCAGTGTACGGTGTGCCCAGGGAGAGTGCTGACGGGAACTGGAACCTGCCCGTGTGGGTGGCCCCACAGCGCTGCATCTCACTACTGGGCCACCAGCCGGCCCATTCCTACTTCCTGTGTTCATTGCGAAGGTTAAAAGAGACTCACAAAGGACAAGCACAACGGAGCACTTGAAAAACACTAGCCATTACAATTGCTATCGGTTTTATTTATTTTTATGTTATTCATAATACAGAGTGCATGGGGGTGAGGAGGGGACAAGGTCTCATCTCGATCCCCTGTCCCCAGCCTTCCAGCACACTAGAATCTAGGGTATGCATGTACATACCCTGCATGTTTTCAGGTTGCCCCAGTGTCTGACCCGCACTCGCCCTGTGGCTTCCAGAACTCAGTTCAGTTTGTGACCCCAGGCTGGGCCACAGTGCTGTTTACATTTGCAGCCCCTAATGACACGATGATGAGCGTCTTTTCATATGCTCACCTGTCACGGGTGTCCTCTGCAGGGGTGGAAAAGATAACACCTTTCCTCTGCCACGATAAGGGTCCCTATGGTACTCCTATAACAGAAGTCAGGTTAACAAGATAAAAGCAAAACAAGTTATTTAATCTAAGGTTTCTGTGACATAAGAGTCTTCAGGAACAAAGACCCAAAGAGCCAGGGAAACTGCCTTTTTTTTTTTTTTTTTTTGCTTGCATTCCATGAATGATGGACAGCCATGTAGGAACGTGATTGGACAGAGGTGATCCGAGGCTAGCAAACTGAGGGAGGAACGCCAGGCGAGGCCTGTCTGTTCAGATTCTTCTTGAGCTGTCCATGAAGCCATCATTCCTCCCAGGTGTGGGCCAGGACGTCTCTCAAATAAGAGTCTTCAAGGGAGAAGGGAGAGGGTGATCTATCTGGGTTTCATGGCTTGCTTTAGGGGAGAAGATTCTAATTTCTTTTTTTTAAAAAAAAGAATTATTCATTTTAATTTTGTTTACTCATTCGTTTATTTATTTTAATCTGATCAGAGAGAGAGAAAGAGCAAGAAAGTGAGAAAACAAACCACAGGGTCCGGGACTTGAACCATGGTCAACCAAGTGGGAATATCCAGTGCCTTAACCACCACGCCACATGCTGATCCCTAATTTCTTTTTCTTAATTGTTTATTTAATTTTATTTATTATTATTATTATTATTTTATCTTGGCCAGAGAAAGAGAAAGGAAAAGTGAGAAAGCAAGCTGCCAGGTCTGGGACTCAAACCGTGGTCAACCATGTGGGAGTCTAACACCTTAAACACCATGCTACATGCTGGCTCCAGTGGAGTTCTAATTTCTCCAACCTTCCTTGGGAAAGAATTCTGTTTATTTTTGTTTTTTGCTTTTTGCTTTTTTTTTTTTTTTTTTTTTTGCCTTGCTTAAGGGGAGACAGGAGAGCAGGGGAAGGTCAGAGAGACCTCGCTTCTGAGAGCTTCCAATCTTCTCACCTCGCCAGAGGGCTATACTTTGGGGTCTTTTCTGAGTCCTAACATATCTCTGATGAGGACTCTATTCATTTCTCTTGTCCATTTCTTAGCTGGGTTGTAGATTTTCTTACTATTAAGTTTCAAGAGTCCTTTATATTTTTTGGCTAGCAAAAAAAAATCAGAAAATGTCATTACAAATATTTACTCCCAGATCCAGCAGATAGCATAATGGCTACATCGCTAGACTCCCATGTAGTTGACCGCGGTTTGAGACCCAGACCCGGTGGCTTAAACTCAAGCCAGCCACGTGTGCATGAGTGCCCAAGATCCTGAGAGGAGAATGGAGGAGAAGGGATTGCGGTGTGGCCATCTCCCCTGGAAGATGATTTCTTACTTTCTGTCTCTCTGTCTCTCTCTCTCTGTCTTTCTGGTGAGTGCATGCGTCCTATAGCAAAAACCTTTCCAAAAAAAAAAAAAATTTACTCCCAATCTCTGGCTTGCTTTGTCTTTCTTTCAATATCATGGGCTTTTAGTCACATGATATTCAAATAATGATATTCTTTATTGTAAAATATCTCAAAGAGGTATTATGAGGATTAAATGGGTTAATATTTTTATAGTGCTTAGCATAGCCCCAGCACGAGTTAAGAGCTATGAGAGTATTAATACATAAGTAATATTTCAGTGTGGATACCTAGGTCCTTTCTACCTTTTCATTATTCTCAGTCATTTAGCAAATTACTTTTGAATTTATTAAGTAGAAAACTTCATCCTGAATTTTTTCCTGGAGTCAATAAAACCCTGAGCACATGCCTGGATGGTAGTTATTTATCTTTTTAAAGAATTATTTATTTAATTTTATTTATTATTATTATATTTTAATTTTCTATAGGCTTATGTGCTCACTAGAGAGAGAGAGAGAGAGAGAGAGAGAGAAAGAGAGAAAGCATCCCCAGATGCAATTGCCCATCTCCTCTCAGGATTTTGGGCGCACACACACACACACACACACACACACACACAGATGCCCAGTGTGATTTTCAAGCTGCTGGGTCCAGGACTTGAGCCATGGTCAGCCATGTGGGAGTCCAGCATCTTAACTACTACACTCCCTCCCTGTTGAATCTTAAGACACGAACTTTAAGCACAGAGGGAGCTTATGGTAGAAAGTTATTTTTAAATTATTTTATTTACTTTATTTTACTTGTTATTATTATTTATTTTTTAATTTGACCAGAGAGAGAGAGAAAGGGAAAGTGAGAAAGTAA